AAGTATAGTAATGTTAGCCTTCATTGAACAATAGCATCAAAATCAGGTGATCTACAGATTGCTGTTTCTCCCATACCTTCTCACCTACAGAATACATACACACTACCCTTAAGGGAATATATCTAAGTCTGGGATTTTTAAAAAGCACATCCATTCATTAGGATGCATTTTAAAATTTGCCCAAATATTTTAATTATATTATTATTGAACTGGAGATAGATTAACAAAAGTGCTTACAATATATTTTAGTTAGATTTACCTCCTCCATCATTCTCCTTTACCCCTCCTCCCTCATTCTTAAAATAGTTTCAACATGTCTCATTTTTCCATTTTCATACATGAGTACACCATATTCACCATCCTATACCCTTGTCTAATATCTTCCCCGCTCCCACTGGTACAAAGCCCCAGACAGGACCTGTTTTACCTTCTTGTCCTCCATTTTTGAAAAAAAGACATTTTGTTTGTTTGTTTAAGACAGCTATAATAGGAATTTCATTATGGTATTTCCATGTATACATGCATTACATCATGAATTGGTTCATCCCCTCCATTTCTTTCCTTTCTACCTTAGTCCCCCTTTTATAGTGATTTCAACAGGTTTAAAAATTCTATATTCATTCTTGTATGGAAAGTACATCAACCATATTCACCTTCTTTACTTCCTTCTTTTACTCTCCCCTCTTTATTAGTGATCTGTTGACTTTGGCACAATACATGTACAGGTATCATACCAAGGCAAAAATCCCACTGAACAAAAAAACACCTAAAAAACAAAGGGCAAGAATGCTCAAATACTTTAGTCTGTACCTGAGCTCCATGCTGTCCCATGTCTCTGGGTTATGATTTTAGGTGAAATTTCATTTCATTTGAAACATTAGTACACTAGCCCTCACAGCATTGCATTAAAAATGCAAGCACAGTTTTACAGTTTAAAAAGAGAACTAGCTCAACCACCACAATAAATTCATATGGGAATTGGCATTAATTTACATATTATAACCACAATTACAAATTTCTATTCTAAAAATGTCTACAGAGATAAATTTGGCAAAACAACTCACTTCAGGGAAAATTGTGAGACTACCCGAGTGTGTGTGTGTATGTATAGATGCATGGAGGAGGGTACATTAAAAACTGAGTTTACTAACCAAGGTACATTGTAAGAATATATGGAAATGTCACAATAAAACCTCTTGTATAACTAATATACACTAATAAAAATGTTATATAAAAACTTGTCTTCAAATACTAAGGGAAGAAATCAGAAAAAAAGAAGGTAGGTTTGGATGCAAGGAAAGCCACAGCTCTAAGTATGGAAGTGCTCTGTGGCTTTGAGTAATGGACGTCGTAAGTGGGCTCCTGTGTTCACAGGAGGCAAAGCAAAGGTAAACTGATGACATAATGATTTTGACAGAGAAGGTAAGGAATTTTGTGGTGTGGCAAGAATTTTTACCACATTAGTATTTTATTAGTGCCTGTGAAGCAGTCTGGGACACAGTGTTATAAAAATATGGCTTTTCACCTTGTTCTCACCCCAGAGGATGAATTTCCAAGCAGTCTCCATACATTTTTAGTTTGTTCTTTCTTTGTTACCTATATTCAAGTATCTCTCTGGAAAGGGTTAATTCACCTGTTCATTTGCCACATACATGCAGAACATCTGCTAAGACAGGATAGGCTAGATCTGTCCTCTGCTGTTCCTGTCCAGAATGCACAAACCATCACACAATAACAACAACAACAAAAAAAAACCCACCAAGATCAAAGAGAAGCAGCCACCATTCTCTGAGAGGAGTGGACCACAAAGCTCATCCAGGCTCATTCATGTCTCTGGACTTTCTGAGCATCATTTTGAACTGCCTTTTCTCTGCAATTAGATTCTTGGAAAATAATATACAATTTTACATTTTCCAGATCACTGAACCCTCTACCTAACCAACATATAGATCTCCAGTGTAAGAAATGGCTTTCCCCCAAAACTGGTGTTGAGCTTATCAAATGTAAAGCCTATTTGATAAGTTTTTGTATTAGGGCCAATCTCCATGATTTAGTTGGTAAAAATGAATTGATGGTTAAGTGGTTGAAAGTGTTGAAAACAAATTACAAGTTTATATTTCCTAAGTCTCTAGGAAATGACAGGAAAAAATATTCCCCCAATGCAAGTAAGGAAAGAAAACATTCATTTCTGTAAGAATACAGAAGGGTTAATATTTGAATGTGAGGGAAAGACATCCTCTTTCATATTATATGGTCTTGCTAAACATTTAGAAAATGAAAACTTAAGCTTAATAGTATAAATCTCTGTCAAAAATTAATCACCTGTCATAAATATCCTCCTTCCTACTCCCACATACTGACTATTGCCTCAGTTCAGGAAAGTAAATTGAATTTCATTCCGGCCAAATGGTAACAGATGGCTCTCATGTTTAGTAATTTGAGTTATCTGACAGTGACAGTATCCTACTCAAACATTTTTGTTATTTCTCATCTACTGTCAAACCAAGAAGAATAGCAATGCTCAAAGCAGGCAAAGGTTAAAAAAGAGAAGACATCAATCTCTTAGGAAACAACTTCAACTACCAACCTGAAAACCATGACTTCTTGGATATGGGATTTCCAAGTGTTATGCTGAATCCTAACATTTTATTTTTGAAATGAATTTGATACATACTTGTTATAGATGCCTTCCCTATCATTTGCTATTCTTTATTTCCAACCATTCAGCTAACCCTGTTACACCACAAAGAGGATGGATGAGCCAAGAATGATAACCAGTAAAGAATATTTTCTCTGAAGGGAGCATTTGGGGAAGTAAGTAAGTACCAAGGAAACTACAGCACCTGAAATCATCATAGCTAAGACAACTATCCTTCAATTATACTCTGTTGACCTTTTGGTGAAGGCTTGAAAATAAACAATGGCAGGTCACTAAAGATAAGTGCCCTCTGCTACAAGATGAATTATGTATTTCAAAAGATGTTACTGAATATTCTGAGCAACATGGCCACAAATGCAAAAGCTGCATATTGCAAAAATACTAACACTTGAAACATCTGGATTTTTTTCAATTCCTCTGATTGTTCCTTTACATCTAAACTCCTAGAGTAGCTTTGTCTTCAGGCTTCCAATAACCCCCTACTCTGATTCTTTATGTCTCCATCCCAACTACATGTTCGTTCTGTCTCTTTCTTGGCTCATAAGCCTTCAGGTGCTATTGAGTATATATAAGAAAAGCCGGAATGCCTGGTTTGGCATTCAAGGCTGCATAAAATTTGATCCTATCGTATGTTTTTTTATTGTGTGTTTGCCTCCTTCTGATATGAATCTCCTTTCTACACAATAAAGCAATCCAGCAGTCTTCTTCCTTTCTGCTCAGGATGCCCTCTCCCTCCTTTCTCGCTCAGTCCACACGCGATATGTCTTCCCCACATCTTTGTTCATCCACAATCCTCCCCTAATTTCAGACCTCACTCTAGATTCTCCATGATTTTCTCTCCTTTTCAGTATTGTTACGCGCTGCTGTCAAGGGTCCTTGCCTTCACAGGCCAGAGAACTGGCTCGTGAGGCAGCTGATTGATGAGTCAAAGCCGGTGTATAAAGTAGGATTCATTAGAGAGAAAGGAAAGGCTACAGCTTAAGGTACTGCAGCAGAACCGGTGGCTCACTGCACAGGTGAAGGCTAGGATTTTTATGGACGTTATAACTCTGGGTTAAGTAGGTTTTTCTCATTGGCCATGGATTCATGGGCTTTTCTCCGGTGAACCAGTTTGGTCAGCACCTTTATTGGAGGAAGGGAACAATCTTGAGAGCATTTTGCTCATCAGCCCTGTGGCAGATCTGTATCTCTCCTTTAGGATGCAGGAATGCAGGCCTCCATCTCCTCAGGATGCAGGAATTATATTGCCCTCCATGGGGGATGGGACACTCACTCATCTGCCTTAGGTCTCCAGACCTAACAGCATCTATAGCATTGGACATGGGAAACATGACCTGCCACAACCTAATGAAACGCTGAGACCATATGGCCTAACCCTACATCTTCCACATAAACCGTCTCTTACCATGCTCTTTTACATTTTTCATGTACTTATCTCAACAAATAGGCTATAAACTCTTCAAAGTTAAAATTCCCATTTATGATTTGGTATATTCCATAATAAATATTCAGTAAATAGTCTATAAATTTTATGCTAATAAATATAATTTTTCCAAATGTGTAAAAAAAAATTACACAGGTAAGGTAATTAGCAGGTAAGGCCTCTGGGGGGAAATAGTAAGAAAGAAGCATATTACTTTAATAGGGTCCCAGAAAAGTAACAGCAGTATAAAAATACTGTTTTTAGTCACCAAATAATGTTGGCAGTCACTGCTGATCCTCATCACATCAGAGAATTTGAGAGAGAAATGAGACAGAGGGAGCAAGCTGAAGATGGAATAAGATGTATGCTTTGTAAATTCCTGGGCATTTAAAAAAACCTGAGAGCACAACAGTCATTTTGATTTGAGTGCCATCAAAATGAGACCCATACAAAAACAGCCAAAATGCCATGCACTCTCCAGAAGCTGGGTTGGTTTCAATTATTTTCTTCATTTCTGTGGCATATTTCATTTGCATACATAACTCAATGATTCTAATAAGTGTTTTACCTAAGTAAGATATCACATCTGATTATTTTCTATAAATTCTTTCTAGAGTAACATCTATGGATCACAAACAAAATAAAGACATTTTACGGTTTTTAACACTGACAAATGAAGACTTTACAAACTGTTCTTGGGAGCACATTGCTAAAAAGCACTTAAATATATTAAAATGTTGCCTTTCAAAAGTGCTGCATATCCCTTTAATGTGAATTTAAGTGTCATACTAATAAATGCTACAAAGCAAGAATTAATCTACCCTGAAGAGATACAAGTATTCTTCATTGAATTATATTTAATTCCTATCTGTAGATAGGAGTGTACTTGATAAATATAAGAAGATGTAACATTCCTACCTTGTGTCTGTTTCTTGTTCACAGCATTATCAGCTTTATGCCGTTTCTAAGGTTTAAAAGCAAAAAGAACCACAGATTAATGAAACAAAAGAACGCCCAACAAAAGAGAGATTTCTTTTCACTTATGTTCCACAAGACTCTTAACCTTTCACAATCATGTTGATACTATGAGTGTGCATCAGTGGGAGTGTTGTGATAGAAATTTTAAACCTAAAAGCACCATCCACAGCCTCTTTGCACAGTATTCCTCCTCCAGCTGCACAGGCTTGTGAGTCTCTGAAGATTTTAGATTAGCATATAGGTAAGATTAAAATTTTAACATACTAGAAATATTTGAACTGAAAGCCTGATTCAGTCTGTTGCTTCAATAACTCACTTAAAAAAGAATTCCAAAGAGAATTATCTATAATAACTATCATTTAACAATAGTATCAAAATATTTCCAGCTTCTTAAGAAAGTCATTATCTAATTAAGTTGAATACATCTTCTATAATTTAATGACGTGCTGACGTGCTGGTGTGTGTCCATGACTAGAACCAAATACATCTACCACTGTCATACAGCCTCTTCACTGCTCCCAGCATTCCCACCCCCACCACCACTTGCAACCACAAGTCACTGAATCACAGGATCCTATTCTCCTTCCTCACAAAAGCATCTACAAAATTAAACAGTGAACCATGAGTTTGTCTAAGTCTAGGCAGGTAAGTTTGAAGAGTTATTAAGCAAATGCTTTATAGCAGTGGGTAAGAAAAAGAAACAAAAGGGAAGAGGAAAGGTGAGAATTTGAGTGATCATGGAAGCTATCTCTTCTATGGTTCAACTAGAGGTTATCTATGGCTTCTGTCTAAACTTACAGCATTGAACATAACACATCAGACTCCACTAACATTGAAAAGAAGCATTGAAAAACTAAATTCTCCCAAAATTAATGAACCAATAAAGAAATGGGCAAGTGAACTAAACAGAACTTTCTCAAAAGAAGAAATTCAAATGGCCAAAAAACACATGAAAAAATGCTCACCATCTCTAGCAATAAAGGAAATGCAAATTAAAACTACACTAAGATTCCACCTCACCCCTGTTAGAATAGCCATCATTAGCAACACCACTAACAACAGGTGTTGGCGAGGATGGGGGGCGGGAAGGAATCCTCTTACACTGCTGGTGGAAATGTAAACTAGTACAACCACTCTGGAAAAAAAATTTGGAGGCTACATAAAAATCTAAACATTGATCTACCATTTGACTCAGCAATACCACTCTTGGGGATATACCCAAAAGACTGTGACACAGGTTACTCCAGAGGCACCTGCACACCCATGTTTATTGCAGCACTATCCACAATAGCCAAGTTATGGAAACAACCAAGATGCCCCACTACTGATGAATGGATTAAGAAAATGTGGTGTTTATACACAATGGAATTTTATGCAGCCACAAAGAAGAACGAAATGTTATCATTCGCAGGTAAATGGATGGAATTGGAGAACATTATTCTGAGTGAGGTTAGCCTGGCCCAAAAGACCAAAAATCGTATGTTCTCCCTCATATATGGCCATTAGATCAAGGGCAAACACAACAAGGGAATTGGACTTTGATCACATGATAAAGCGAGAACACACAAGGAAGGTATGAGGATAGGTAAGACACCCAAAAAACTATATAGCATTTGCTGCCCTCAATGCAGAGAAACTAAAGCAAATACTTTAAAGCAACTGAGGTCAATAGGAGAAGGGGACCAGGAACTAGAGAAAAGGTCAGTTTGAGAAGAATTAATTTAGAAGGTAACACACATGTATAGGAAATCAATGTGAGTCAACTCCCTGTATAGCTATCCTTATCTCAACTAGCAACAACCCTTGGTCCTTCCTATTATTGCTTATACTCTCTTCAACAAAATTAGAGATAAGGGCAGAATAGTTTTTGCCTGGTAGTGAGGGGTAAGGGGGGGGGTAAAGAGGAGCAAATGAGGGGGGAAGGGGGGAGAAATGACCCAAACAATGTATGCACATATGAATAAAATAAAAATTAAAAAAAAAAGAATAAAATGTTTCAAAAGAAAAAAAGAAAAGAAGCATTGAGTATAACTAACCCTTTGCTCAAAGATCCTATCATACAAAGCCCAAGGTCAGACTCAGTTGTGTGTACCTGATTGTAACGTAAGTTGGAACAAATGTAAAACAAATGAATTCCTTAGTTTTTCATATATGAAAAAACATGGTTTTTAGAAGTTTAATGCATATATAAAAACATCTTCCAAGAGAAATGTGTGGAGTGGTGGATCAGCACTCCTCTGAGTGACAGCTACATCCAAGAGGAGTAGAATAATAGCTGGCAGCATGAACTTGATGCATTTGAACTAGCAGTCATTGAACTGTACCAAATGCCAACACAGCCTTCAAAAAACCTCTGTAGAAGAGTTATTGTAAATGATTCTCACCAGATCCACATGTAAAAACATACGATAATCCTTCTTACTACAAAATACTCACTAATGAGTATTAATGTAGACATTTCATAGGAATATTATTGCTTCTTAAAGAAAGCACAATTTGCCAGAAAAATATTCAATGAATTTATAAAATTCTGTTAAATTTATAGCATCAATAGAAATATAATTATAAAACTCCAAAGTACTATTTTTTTTTGTTGTCCTTATTTCTTTGATAGCAAAGATTGTAAAAAAAATTAAGACAGCCATCAAAATACATTTTGGTCCAAAGTAATAGCCCAAGGTAAATTTAGATATTCAAAGGAGATTCAAATATTTCCAAAATAATGCATGTCTCTGACAGGTGATTAGACTTTTTGAAGGAGACAAAAACTAGTTAGCGAATTATTTCACTTCAAAATAGAAATTTAATCTGAATGAAACCTCAGGCGATCATGAACATTACTTTACATCTGCAGAGAATTCTGGCCCTGGAGTATCTCTTTCCATAACCTTCCCACTATGGACTAAATTAGGCTACTTGTCAAAAAAAAAAAAAAAGTGTGCTGGATACATAAAGATCCAGATTCTAATCTTATGACTACAAAGAGCAAACACCTAACTTTTGTATCACAAAGACATCATTACTCCTACTAAAACTAATAGTTCAGAAAAATTAAAGTTATTCTCAATTTAAATACCTCCACTGTCATTCATTTAAAAGCACTGACAGTCAGTGAATTATTTAATATTATCAATGTTTGATTGAAAGTATACTAATAGATAGTATTGTATAATAGTGCCATGAACTTTGGGATACTTAAGTGAGCAATGCTGATTGTAAAATTTTAATTCCCATAATAACATTGAGAGTTGTATATTAACTTCCATTTAAAGAAGAGGAAGCTGAGGCTTAGAAAGGTTATGTAACTTGCCCAAGAAAGTGAGCTAACCAAATTCTTCATTCTGGAAACCCCTTTCTCCCTAGGCAGTTTTGATCATATCACTGCCCAGATTTTCCACCTATACCTTAGCTCCTTTTTAACTCCTCTGCTCTTTTCTGTTCAGTGATGAGATCGATCAAGTGTAGTCCCTGACCTTCCTCACTTCTTACCTGACATCCTCTTCCTTGCTCAACGCTTTCACACTAAGAATAAGTATTCAGACTAGATTCTCATATGAGCTATAGTTACATCCAGTGTTCCTCCTTGACATTTCTCTCTGGACATCTCAAAAGCATCTCACAATGTGCCCACAGACAACCTGTGACCCTAACCCCCAAGGGTAGCCCTTGACTCAGGGATGGAACTATATGTCATTCATGCCCTGACAGTCACCATTGTATCTTCTTCTCCCTCTCACTTCTCCCCACCCCCTTTTATCACTACTGTTAAGGATACAACAATGAACAACAGCCCCAATCCCTTGCAGTCTTTGCAACTGTAGTGGTTGGAGACAGAATATGAACAAAATAAGTAGGAGACTGTAGCACGTTGGAGGCATGGCTAAAGCAGTAGAGCACCTGTCTAGCAATGCATAAAGCCCTGTACCACCAAAAAAAGAGAGAGCTCTAGCAATTTAGAGTATTTTAAATAAGCATATAGGCCATTTGTTACTTGCACATAAAAATAAGGAACTATATTTTGTTAAGCTGTGCAAAACATCAAGAGTTAAAATGGCACTAGGGTAGATACTTCTTAAGTACCTCACCAATACACAGTTCTTATTTTAAAAAAATGCCCTTTAGAAATGCAAATTAAAACCACGCTAAGATTCCACCTCACCCCTGTTAGAATAGCCATCATTAGCAACACCACCAACAACAGGTGTTGGCGAGGATGCGGGGAAAAAGGAACCCTCTTACACTGTTGGTGGGAATGTAGACTAGTACAACCACTCTGGAAAAAAATTTGGAGGCTACTTAAAAAGCTGGACATCGATCTACCATTTGATCCAGCAATACCACTCTTGGGGATATACCCAAAAGACTGTTACTCCAGAGGCACCTGCACATCCATGTTTATTGCGGCACTATTCACAATAGCCAAGTTATGGAAACAGCCAAGATGCACTGACGAATGGATTAAGAAAATGTGGTATCTATACACAATGGAAATGCAGCCATGAAGAAGAACGAAATGTTATCATTCGCTGGTAAATGGATGGAATTGGAGAACATCATTCTGAGTGAGGTTAGCCTGGCTCAAAAACCAAAAATCGTATGTTCTCCCTCATATGTGGACATTAGATCAAGGGCAAACACAACAAGGGGATTGGACTATGAGCACATGATAAAAGCGAGAGCACACAAGGGAGGGATGAGGATAGGTAAGACACCTAAAAAACTAGCTAGCATTTGTTGCCCTTAACGCAGAGAAACTAAAGCAGATACCTCAAAGCAACTGAGGCCAATAGGAAAAGGGGAACAGGTACTAGAGAAAAGGTTAGATCAAAAAGAATTAACTTAGAAGGTAACACCCACGCACAGGAAATCAATGTGAGTCAATGCCCTGTATAGCTATCCTTATCTCAACCAGCAAAAACTCTTGTTCCTTCTTATTATTGCTTATACTCTCTCTACAACAAGATTAGAAATAAGGGCAAAATAGTT